TATATATATATATATATATATATATATATATATATATATATAGACGTATATATATATATATGTCTTTCATCTCTGTTTACTTTTGATGTACAAATTTCGTTTGTATTTTTAATCAAATTATGGCCATTGACCAATGTTAATACAAATATTAAGTTTAAATCAACAAAGGCAACGCAAACTACCAAAATACAGATCGACCTCGGCCAATCACACGGAGCTAATGGATGAAGATTAAGATAAGCTTCTGGCCTGAGGGAGTGTTTAATAGAGCATGTTTCTTGTTCCTCCCAGAAACATGTATTCAGAGACCAGTTTGTGTTGTCAGACCGTTTTGAAATTCATACGGTCAAATGACCTGACTTGTGATCTCAGACCACCACTTGTCAAAGCTTTATGAGCACAGGTCCCGACTCCTCTGCAACATTCAGCTCAACAACTCCATGTTATATAGCATTTGATAAGGACACAGTGACTACGTTTCACAGCACATAAAGCGGCATCAATAATTTGAGCATTAAAGTCACAATGTGGTGAGTTTTATTCCCCCCGGGTCATTATTATCCCCATGTGTTTATTTAACACTATTTTTTACATGATATATAACTCCAAGGGTGCAGAAAGAGAGCAATCTTAATCGAGAACAAATTAGGCCTGAAAGCCAATAAATGCAATGATGAGTTTTCCATCTAGTAAAAGGAAGTGCATCACACGCCATGGGGCTCCCTCTGGCAGCAAGAGGAATACTTTTTATTGTAGCACATAGTGAAACTAATAGCCTTCCTGTTATGATGATGGTGATATTTGAGGGAAGGACATCTTCTGTAACATAGTTAAAGTTAATGAGCGGTCCCATTCTGTGACTTTTCAGTTGACTGGGGTGGATGGTTTGACCTGTGTCAGTAAATCGCAAATTGCCCGGGCAGAATATTTCATCTGTTTATACAACACAGACGGATAAAGCAGCCTAACAGGCAAAGAAGAAATTGGGTACGAAGGGAATGGAGGAGATGTGAATTAGATGAGTGGGATAAAAATATCTGAAAGCTCACTGACATAAGAGAACTGCCCTGCTATGAAAGAAAACGTTAAGTGCTTCTCAAAGAGTCCCATTAGCAAACGAGACGTAATGATGTTGCTAATCTGAACAGAGGGAAACTGAATGAATATCAGAAAGCTCATTACTGACAATACTGAGCTACAGCAGATGCCATTCAAGCGCACAAACATCCTCTCTCCCATTCGTTTACATCCATACACAGGACAAGCAGAGTTTTGCAACTCTGGCCCTTTTTCCCACATGATTTTACCCCAGGCTGCTTACCTGATGCTCTGGATCTGTAAAATATCTGGATCTGTGGCATTGAGTGAGGCCACAAAGCTGCCTAAAGGAATGTTTTCCATCCTGGTGACTATCAGGGGGTCGGGGAAGAAGATGGGGCCCTCGTTGATGTCCAGTACTGTGACATGGACAGTGGCTGTGGAGCTGGGGCCGTAGCCGACATCAGGAACCAGAGCGTCCTCGTTCTCCACTTTGATGAGTAGCGTGTGGAGCGCTGCGGCCTCGTAGTCCAGAGGCTGAAGGGTGGAGAAATGGTTGTAAGGGAAGGGTGATTATGTTACCGACTGCAGCGTATAAATGCATCGGATAGTTTGATGTACTTTACCTTGGCAACGGACAGCATTCCCTCATTATTGTCTGGGTTGGTTTGAATCTCAAAGCTCAGTGTGGGATCTCCGTTAATTATCGAGTAGATCGCTCTCCACGCCCCCGTGTCTGGGTCGTCCCTGTCGTCTACTGTCAGGTTGACCACCACTCCCGTAGAGCCCTCGTACACGTCCGCCTCGAACTGTTAGAGGAGACGGACAGAGAAATCACCATTAGTGAGCAGGATGAACTGAGGAAACTGACATCTATAGGCTACAACAGCACAAATCAGCCTGGACTCAGACAGAGAGGAGACAGAGAGGATGGTGTGGACGAAGACTTGCTATTTGGAGTAGATTTAAGTCAGGTGAATTTTAGAGGCAGCACGACTGCATACCAAGTCAATAGAAAGACACAAGTGGATGACAACATGAATTGAGGCAAAGGCACCTGCCCGAGTTGATAGTAGTAGGAAAATTTGACTTCGCCTTCAGTCTGATTGTTCATTTCAGATACCCTGTGGAGTTTGTGACCACTAGTGGTGCAGTGGAGCGATGGTTTGACGAGTGGGTCCCTGTTTGGTTTGCATTTTGCACACACGTGAGCATTGTTGCTGCTGGTGTCTTGCTATTTCACTGGTGGCAGAAATGCACAAAGAAGCATTGAAATGCGCCGACAAAGACAAGGAAGAAGACGACTGCAAGCACGCAAACTATGGATATTAACAATGCAGGATTTAAATAATTCTAAGCAAATGGCCTTGTAGGTGTTTTATGAGGATGCGTTCAACATGTTTGTTAAACCTCAAGGATAAACACATTGCATTTCGTGACAAACACTGATGTAAACTTAACATGGGCACCTTTAAGTCTTCTTCCTCTTTATACATTGCATTATCATCCTCATCATTAAAATAATAGATTTTAGGGAGAGGACTGTGATGTAAAGCGTCCCATTTTTGGCTATTTTTCTCTCCTCGCGTATGTCCTTTCGTTAAAATTTCAGCTCACTGATACAGCTGTGAAATGCCAAAGCTATTTTTGTACTCTGGAACTACAGCTGAAAATAGGGAAAGAAATTAAGAACATGAAAAAAAAGAAATAAAGAACTATGCAAAGAAATGTAATAGTCATGTCCCATATTCTGCAGTCAAATCCAAGAAAAGACATTTTAGTTTAAATGCATGGACAAACAGCACAAGTAATAGAATAAACACTCGTTGTGGATTCTCCACAGTGCATCTCATTTACCTTTCAGTGTCAATCACTCCCAAGCTCTCTGCTCATTGTTGGCTGCACGCCTCAATCAGATTCCTATCCAAGCATTCTGCCAGCAAGGCTCTCACTAAAGACTACATCCTGAACAGGGGTACCACTGCAGATGCTCCAGGCAGGCAGAAGCAATGCTGTGACTGTGTATGTGTGTGTGTGTGTGCGTGTGTGTCAGGACATTATGGTGTCAGAGCTTACAGTGTAATCTTTCAGACAAGAACACTCTGTTTAAGGATAGTGCTGGTCCAGCCTAGATTACTGCGTCTCCTGTCAGCCCACGGTATTGTTGTTTCACAGATTACCCTTTTACCGCCTTACACTGCCTGGCTCCATGCATTTATCTGAAAGGACACAAACATTGATTTCTCCTCTTTCCTTTCTTTTCTCCCTTTTTTATTCTTTCAAAGCTAGTTTAAAAAAAACCCCATTGAACCGTTGAACAGTCATTTAGGACAGAGAGGACGGAGGCACAATGTTCTTTAAAGAAGGAGGTTATGTTTGAACCCACATGGGCATTGTTGGCCCTTTTGTCCCGCAAGCCTGCGGCAGTCTGGTACAAACGCATCATGTGAAAATTAGGAAGCTGCAAGGAAACATAAAAAAGCCAAGTGCTCATTTTGAAAACAAGTGGGATGTACTGGAATTCAAATTTCAAGATTTAGCGAAGAACCCCGAAGCAGTGAAAGACATTTTGCAAACATTACCTACATGCCCCCATTGCATGTACTCAAAGACACATGCACTCTGATCAGAGACAAATGCACGCCATTGGCATCGCCATGTTCGTCGTCCTCTTTTGGACATCAGAAGAGCAGAGGGCTCAAATGCAACATTTGCAAGCTCTCTCTCTCTCTCTCTCTCTCTCTCTCTCTCTCTCTCTCTCTCTCTC